CGGCCCAAGCCACAGCAGCCGCCGCGGCGGGAGGCGGGCGCCTCGGAGCCGCGGCGGCAAGAGAAGGAACCGGAGGCGCCCGGCGGCCCGCTGGAGGTGTGGGAGCAAGAGGACTGGTTCCCGGGGCTGGAGCTGGGAGACCTGCTGGAGGCGGCCCGGCCGGACTGGGACCTGGACGCGGAGCTGAGCGGCTGCTTCTGTGGGGAACCGGAGCCGCCGGGCCAGGGCCAGAGGCCGGCGGCGCCCGGCCGGAGGAACGGCGGGGCCGGGAGCCGGCTGAAGGCGGCGGCGGCGGCGCGGCTGAACCGGCTGAAGAAGAAGCAGTACGTGCTGGGGCTGGAGAGCCGCCTGCAGGGCCTGGCTGCCGAGAACCGGCAGCTGCGGGACCGCAACCGCGGCCTGAGCCGGCGCCTGCGAGAGCTGGAGCGGGAGAGCAGCTACCTGCGGGCCGTGCTGGCTAACCAGAGCGCTCTAGGGCAGCTCCTGAGCCGCCTAGCCGGGATCCGCGCCGGCGGGCTGCAGCTCGGCACCAGCCTCTTCAGGGACACGGGCAGCCCCCGCCGCCATCACCACCACCTCCAGCCCGCCGGCGAGAGCAGCGACCACGACTACGCCCTGCCCAGCTCCCGGCCTGCCGGCCTGGAGGAGGCGGCGGCGGTGGTGACGGAGACGGAGGAGGAGTGGGCGGCCGCCGGCGGGATCTGCCTCCACGTGGACCGGGATCAGGTGTCGGTGGAGTTCTGCTCCATCTGTGCTCGGCGGGCGGCGGCCTCCTTCAAAATGTAGGGTCAAGTACCTGCTGCAAGTACTCGTGGGGTTCTCGCCCCTAGGGGCCTCGCGTCGTGGCGGAGGAAGCAGGCGATGGTGCGGAGGAAAAAAAAAAAAAAGGATAAATGCACAGTGGTGATGGGGTGGTATTGGGGGAGATGCGGAGGAGGGGAACCTGGCGCTTAAGCGGCCAGGGTAACGGAAAAAAAAAAAAAAAATCTCTCGAACGGCACGTTGGGAGCCAGACGGTGGCCTTGGTGAAAGGTCGCGTAAATCTGGCGTGTGGACGGTAGTGGTCTGAGCCTGTCTGGCCTAAGAGTCGTGCAGAGCTGTGTACAGCAGTGCGATAATTATCGTGCAGACTGACACGCGCATATACACGCAGAGGTGCCACCAGAGCCCGTTTGCAGCGCTTGGGTGAAAAAAGATCATGCCGACCTGACGCATGAAGGTGTGCTCGGTTCCACTTCGCAGTTGCCAGTAAAGATAACGCTGACTGCCCGGTCTTGAGTCAGATAATGTCTAGCCTGCTTATCCTGAGGAGCCGAAAATGCTTGCTTAGAAAACCAAACCAAAAACTTCATTAAGACATCGTCACTGGACAGACTTAAGAAAATAGTAGTGATCGGCAAAAGAAAGCATGCATATAAAATTGTACTGCATCTCAGTTATACATTACTATTAAAACCTCTCTGACAGTTTCTCTTTTAGGTGCTTGCCCTGCCAGGCTCCGTTGTGTAGGGGTTAAAGAACAGTCGTTTTCCACCTCGCAACCTGGTAAGGATCAATATATTCCCATAATGCGGTATCAGACAGCTTGCTTTGCTTATGCCAGTCTCTTGTAATGACTGGTTCAGGAAATGATTTCTCTGGTCCTTGGCCTACTCTGCCAAAATGTTTCTAGCTCTGGATGATAACTAATAGTGAAAATTGCGATCATGTCATTCTAATTAGCTGTTTTCCTCTTTTCCTTTTTTAATTGAATATGCACACAGTAGCCAAAACATGAGCTACCTTTTGAATTAAGAAATAAATGCTTGTGCCGTTTGAAATAGGAATTTTCTATTAAACTAAGGATCTGATGAGCTGAAAAGGGAAAATATGCTAATAAGGGGGATGTGACATTTACAGCCTTTTATCATAGGGGACTGTCCCAAAAGTTAAGTAAATTGCTTTTTAAATGGAAAAAAAAAAAAAAAAAAGGATTTTTGACCTGTTGGTTTAAAATACTGTCTAGTGTTAGGGATGCACGGTACCTTTAAAAAAGTCCTTCTCTGGCTTGCTCTCATTCATGATGTGGAGTTTTGCCTGATTAAACAGAACCTGAACACTGGTTATATCTGTACAGTGGAATCCTAATATAGAGGAGTCATTTTTTTGCATGGATCTCTAACAAGAATTGTGGTTTGATGAATGCAGTGCATCGAAGTAACTCGTTACTTTAGCTTCCCATAAGTAAATCTCTGTGCCCATGCACACTGAAATTCCTGTGTTACTTCAAAGTAGCTTTAAATTTTAAAGATGTTGCATGTATATGCATGTGCTTAATTTTACTGTAGAGTTCTTAATTTAGCCTCTTACAGTATCCAGAAATCTATAACTTTATATAATTAAGCACAGTTTGGAGATGAGCAAATACGTATTTGGAGGCTAATGATTTGAAAAATGCTCCATAATTAACTGAGACAGGAGGAAAAATAGTTTGACAAACAGTAGCGTGTGTTTTCTTGTACTAGTCAGTGTTTCTCCCTATCACAAAAGATGAGTGGGTTGTTTTCTCAGTTGTATTATAATGTTTAGGTTGTTTATATGTATGTCAGTTGGGGGAAGAAGGATTGTGAAAATGATAATATGTAAAGTGAGGTTTCACAAAGAATAGACTTTCCTAAAACAGTTTAATTTATTCTTTTAAAAAAAAGATTCTCTCTAGTGTTTCTGAAGTCTTGTTTCTTAAAGCCTTAAATGTTATGTTTAAGGCTAAGTAGAAGGTGAAGCATTTTCTCCCAGTCATTTGCTTTATTGGTGCTAGACCCTATCAAGTGTTCATCAGTTTAAAAGGAGTTTGATTTTTTTCTTTGTGAAACATCACTGTGTGATAAAGTATATGTGTATTTAGCATCCTTGTTTTTCTTTATGCTAAAGTGGATTCAGCTGTGTTGGGGCAGAAGAGACGGGACCAGCTGCTGGCCACATTTCCTGCTTTATTTTAAAAGGTAGTATAAGAAATGAGAATAAAGAGGTAACAGGGCTTTTGCTGTCTTTGGTTAAAAAAAAAAAAAAGGTTGAATGCTGGGATCATTTACTGTCATCCAAGATGGTTTTTTTAAAAGACAATGTCCTATCAAACAGGTTTCACTCCACTGTATGCAGAATTCCATCTGTTCAGGGTATATTGCCAGCACAAAAGAGACTTAGTGGGCTATGTGTTACCTTACACCTCTGTGGTGGCGTCAACAGGACTGTTCAAAGTTTCAGTCTTAAATTGTGTAACCCTGCTGTAATTGATGGGTTATACCAGTGCCACAGGAATCAGAGTTAACCATCGAGACCCGTACTGACTGATACGCAAAATGGAAATAATTGAGTTAGATTCAACCTAGGCTCAATCTGCCTAGCTCAGACTTCGTGAACATGCTTTATTTTGAAGTTCAACATGCTTGATGAAACGAGAAACACTAATGTAGCAAGTATGAGATGTTACAATGGCATTTTTACAGTTACTTCAGCGTAGAAGTGTTTTTTAAGTTAACTTAAATATGCATTCTTTCTTTTTGCATTACTGCTAAATGGTAGGGGTCAGGGACATAGTTCTGGTCTCTGTTGTGAACCTGCACATCGCTCTAGTCATGAAACTACCTGTGAGCTGTGTCTGAGAGTAGCTGATTTTCTGACATGCAAAATGATGTATACTGGTACAAGAACAAGGTCAAGTCCCAAGAAAGTAAGTGGCTGCAGGCATTTCTAGTGCCTACTGAATCTTATTTAAACCAAATAGAGGGGAGGAAGTTATTTGAAACTCTAACCGACTGTACTATCTGTATGGTGTATTATTAATGTAGCTTTTTGAAGTGGAAGCCTTGAAATGACATAACTTAATACTTGAAAATATATTGTAAATGTTTCTTTGTAATTATGTGCCATCCAGATAAGAATACAATATCATAATAAAATCAGACTTGTTGATCTTTCAATTTATGGGCTCAAATGTTTTTTCATCTTTTTCTTCTCACTAATGCCTTGCTTTAATTTAGTGGTTCATTACACAAAATGGGAAAACAGAAACGGGAAAATGCTGCTGCTGCTATCTGTGGGGGTCATCAGTTGCAAAACAAAATGGATTAGGGTATGCAGGAGAAATGTTCTTACTCCTCTGTCTTTCAGGTTAATTTTGTGGTGAGGACAAAACAAAAGCATTATTCCTTGAACCAAAGATTGTACTGTTGAGAATCACCACTCCTTGTATTTTACAGTTGTTTTTCTTTCTTAATATTTTATTAATGTGGGCATGTTTGATCAATAAACCATGGAGGAGTAGAATACTTACGTAAATGCTTCCATTGTCTATTGGCATCTTCCTCCTTTCTGTCCCATTTTCAGGTTCTGAAGTTTGACGAGTGGTTAATAATATGCTGTTAAACCATAATCTTTCATCAAATTGTTATTTCCACGCTAAAACGCTGGAGTGAGTGTAAAAAAAGGTTTGAGGGTGCTGAAAGGACAGAACATTTTTAAAGCTCCAGAGTGAGCCATGTACTGTACTCTTTGATTTCTGTTAATCATAAATGCTTTATTGGTAGAGAGCAGTTTAAAATAGCGTGCTGGCTTTCTAGCATCCAGGCATTCTAGTGAAAGTAGTCTGCAGCTTGATAAAAAGGAACATTTCACAAAAAAACGTAGCTTAAAAATTTAAAAACATACTGGCAGGCTCTGCCTTTTGGGCCGCCGGTTGTAGAAAATACCCTGTTCAGCACTGAAGTTTGTGTTTGTTAAACTGTACGTACCACAGAACGAAGTACCACCAGTGTTAAACCGCATGGCCACGCTACCTTCGTTTTCCAGTATTTCTCCACCCCACAGCTGCTTGAAGACTATTTAGCAGTTAAACAAGAAACAATTTCATGCTCAGTTCCCTGTTAGTCCTTTAGAGTTTGAGTCTGGTGCTGTGACTCTTAGTAGCATTCTAAATTAACTTCTTTCTCTTTCCTCTGAAGAGCTTAGCAGCATCTGGGAGGAAAAAACCAAATCGGTGCTTCTGTAATCTCTAGCTGCCAGGACGGATGATACCAAAGTAAATGTAGGGAACCATATTCCAACACTTGGCATTTCTTGGTACTTGCAGATTATGAGATTTGTCATGCCACTTGTCAAAACTGTAGTCAGTTTTCCCTGTGAAACACAGAGATCTTCTGCAAAACACAAAGGTCTTTTTGTAAATTTACTGATTTTTAAAAACTTGTGTTCTCCAGAGCTTGTTGTTAAACAGGTTTTCTGCTAGAATCAACAGTACTCCGTTTATAGGGTTGTGTATGCTATTAGTTAGACTGTAAACGTCTCAGGAGATATATTAGGTATGGGGGTTGTACAAATGGGCTTTGTGTTTAAAGAACGCCCTGTGTAAAATTGCACGTTGACAGTTGCTGATTCTACAGTTTTTCACCCAGTTTAAGTGGGATATGCAGATTTGGAGAAATAATTCTGCCTTTGCTCATTAGCAGGAGGATAGCTGGACTAGGGCAGGTACAAGGGAGATGAGGCTATAATTTGCCGAGGGCTGTGGAATAAATGGTCGTATTGAAATTCAGCATCAAAAATGGTACATATAGAGGATAAAATCAGTGCTTTTTTTAGTATTTCTGTTGATTCTTATCTATAGCCAGTCTCTCGGCATTCTTTTGGCAGTAGTTCAGACCTGAAGTAGTCAGAAGTCCATTTCTACGGGTTTATATTGGACACGTGCATTCTTCTAAGAATGCAGTAAAAGCTATTGCTGTGATACGTAGTCTGCGACTGGCTTGTTTCTACTAAAATGGTAGAAGGAAGAATACAACTAAAACTTCTTCTAACGAAGATTTTCGGCAGGGAGGCAGCATTTGCAAGGAGATTGTTACAGTGGGTAGGAGGCCAAGAACTGGTAAAAGCTCGTCCTTTGACTTCTTGAGAGTTGCATGAGGTATGTTGTGCCCCCCGTGCAGAACGGGGAATGGAAGGAGCATTTCCAGGTTTCCGTGAGGGCGCTCCTTCACGCACGTGCATGCTAGAACCGACTGACAGCATCTTGGTGTCCTGCTGAACTCTGAAGCAGTTTCAGTCTTTCTTTAACTTACTTTTGAGAACTTTTTTTTTCCCCAGTTGTTTAAGAAGTACATAGCGTACAACTGGAAAGTTTCCTTTTTTATAAACATAACACCTTTCTTGCCTAAGGAGTGTATAGCTGACCTTTGACACAACCCATGCAGAAAACTTAAAATATGTATTTGCAATTTGTGTGTTCATCTGTTATGCCGGAAAGAAGTATCAGTCTTTGCAACTTACTAAAAAACATTGAGGAATGTGATTTTTTTTTTCTTGTTACATACAATCTTCACCTTTCACCCTAAGAAATAGTGTCTAAAAAAGGGGGGTTTGTCCAAGTCAGATCACTAAGTATCAGAGCATGCATTTTAATTACTCTGAGAATGACTATCGCTTGAATTGATACAAAAATGAAAATAGTGCATGGAATGGAAGATGGTTTTGAATCTCACACTTTAAAAAGCACTAGGATCTGTTTACAATATCTTAACTATATCTTGTTAAATGCTCGCAATAACCACAGAGCCATTAATTTTCATTCTTAAAGATACTATTGCAAAGTAATGGCTTTATTTTATGTTTTTATTATCGCAGGTAAGTGGTTCTGTTGGTTAAAGTCTGATGACTTCTGGAGATACCATAACTCACTGTCTTGCAAAATACTTGCTCTGTGAGAATCTCTGAAGTGGGGGTGATGAAGGTAAGGCCCAGCTCTCTGTTTTGATGCAGGCCAGTATCAGAACACCACATGATACAGCAATACTTTGAATTAAGGAAAACTAAACCAATTTACATAACAACCATTGTGGAGGCAGTCTGTCTTTGCTGCTTCCCTGTACAAATCAGGCTGCTACTCCTGCTTACAGAGAAATAGAGTGCATGGTTTTCCTGCTGTAACAACAAATTTGTTAGGAAAAAGTAGATAAACACGATGAAACTCCTTTAACACATTTTTCAGCAGTGCTAGAGCACAAGTTTTAAACCAAGCCAATTAAGGGTCTCGATGCTGAATTCTTAATTCTCATTAATAAGTATTTCCATGTGCATCTCAGGGGATACTAGAACTTTACTGAAGTGTACACGATTGTTGACCAGTAATCATACAGGTTTTACAGTTAAGACCATACATCAGATGGAGATGATTGCTTCTGTAGAAAAAATCCTGATTTAGTTCTCAAACTGCGGAATACCATACAGATATCTCATGCAGTAGGAAAATCAGCAATTTATATTGCTCTAGAACATACAGTCAGTTGTCAATGTGAAGACAGGCCTGACTCATAAATGCATTACTCCAGACCACTGATCTTAAAAACCAGAGGTAGCTGCGATACCACAGTAACAGCACCAGCCACCTGAGGCCTCTCAACACAGTTCCTTGCTTAAGGAAAAATCTAATTTCAAGGCAAACTGGCTGCAAGGACAAAGTGTGTCCTGACTGGGCTTTTTTTTGGTCACTTGATCTATATGCTGGGAAGTCTGACAGCAGTATCACTCCTGACTGCTCTGTGATAATAAGTGTTCTCTACGGTGTACAGAGTGACCCTCGTAACAGCCGAAAGGGGGTCATCTTGTGACAGAAATGCTGTGCTAGCAGAATTCAGAAAAATACTCAGGTTCTGAGGAATCTCTAAAAAAACCCTTGCCTTGACACCGCCCCCCCCTTTTTTTAAATCATTGTGGTTTGCATTATGAAGAAAAAATGCTTTTTCAATAATACTCATTTATACAGCTTCTAAAAGATGTAGCATCACCTTAGAGCAGGCAATATAAATGCTTTCCCCCCCCCCCCCCCCATTTCCAAAGACAGACACCTGTCCTTATAAAGCTTGTATTCAGGTGTACACACTCAGCTGGACATAATGAAAAATTTAACTTGCATTTAAGTTCAGAACTGAAAAGAATGCCAGTGCAGAGTCTTAACTTTGTTTTTCTATTTAAAAAAGACAGCAAGCAACAACTTCTTTCTTTGTTTATTATGGTTACTTATCGAAGGCAACTGAAAAGTTGCTTTAACTTCATGCTTATAACTCTTCAGGATCCCTGCTAGTGTTCATCTGCTGCAGTACTTTGATATATATTCCATGATGTTTAGTGGCAAGATATAATCCAGTCAGAACCTGTATAAGTACACCCCAACTCGTCTTTCTAAAGACAGGCTGAGAAGTTGTGAGCCAGAAGCGTAGCAGATTTTCTTTCCCTGGCAAGGGAGATGAAGAATACCTAAACAACATAAACAGTGGTAGAAACTTACTTTTTTTTTTTCATCCAATTTAAGTGTCAAGATTTAACATTAAAGTCATTAAAAATATTTAGGTAGATACTCATTGTCTCCTTCCTACCCTAAGTTACATTCACCTGGTGGTACTGAGCTCTCTGGATAAATGCTATAAATCATCCTGAGCGTACTGACGTCTTGCCATCCCCTCGCTGTGCTCTGACCCAGTCCACAGAATCACACCTGCCAGGGAGTTTGGCTGCTGGGCGCTGCCCAGGACCAGCAAGGTCTCTCGGCCGCCCAGCCAGACGGCACTAAGCAGCAATCTTCAGCGCTTGGCAGGACAGCAGCCACAATTTCACGTACCCAGGCCCATGGTGGGTAGCTTGGAAGGTTCCAGCTAAACACAAGTGCTTTACAGTGTATCATTTTGAAGATCTTGTTTGGCTTTGGAGGCTTGGTGTATCTCTTAGGAGCTGTGCCTTTTAATTAGAAGCCCTTAATATAAATCCCCCTCCACATACTAAAAGGCTGAAAGAAGACAGGTGTGCATAGACTAAAAATCCACAGAAGTTGAACTGAAGATTTGACCAACAAATACATTCCACTCATTGCAGGTTAATAAGACGTACCTGGCTGCAAGGCTCGCGTTCATGGGGAGAGCCAGGAAAACAGGATAGAGGCCACCCACGACAGCCCCTATTAATCCTCCTCTGACCACAGCGCAGACCTCACAGTTTAGCTCACCTGCATGACAAACAGTATTTCACTGTCAGTATCCACGTAGCTCCACCACATCAATTTATAAGCTGCGTGCAACAACGTGGAAGCAGGTGCTTGACAGAAACGGCTAAGCTGTAGCGGTATGCAAGAAATTCTGAAAGCAGGACTCTTCTTTTTGGAAAAAAATCACCCTCATTCCAACCCACAAAGAAATTACCACTCTAAAGTTGACCTTCAAATAAAATCATACGGGTGGGGGAAACTGAACTGCTTTGTTGCAGTCACTTTTACATGACTTTGGGTGAAAAATGCTAAACTTCAGTGACACGTAAAAATTTTTTAATGAAGATATATGAATCTACATATGTATGTGCTTTCCCACTCAACTTCAAGAACTCACTGCTGCCCAATGCATTAAATGAACTGTTTTTCAAACCCTGCTTTACAAACTGAGGTTCTCCAAGACCACAACAGTTTGAGACCTCGGTTCTGCAGAGAGGAAAAACTCCTCTAGTGTTACAAGTGTGTCCAGAAAGCAAAGCCCTTTGGAAAACAAGGAATAAAGAGGTTTTTACCTGAAAATAAAGGCTTACGCACAAATACTTCATAAGCTGCTACTGTTGAAAGAAACGGAATAAAAGCCATTGGCAGAGCAGACACTAAGGAAGCCCTTCTGACATGTAGGATGTTCCTGAAGAAGTTATTTGCTGCTAAGCCAAGTAAGCTTGCATTTGCTCCAAGGAAGTATGCTCCATGATTACAAAGGTTCCTGTGAAAGAAGGAAAGTTGCTTCAGCAATTGAGAACTGTAGAAAAGTTTGGTTTACTCAGTGCTGCAATTCACTTCTGAATATCCTACAGTAAGAGGTAAGAGATGTAAATCTCTCACTGGTGCAAAATGGAGAGTAACTACTTTCAAAAGCAACCCGTACAGCATCCTTCGCTATATGTCTGAGTTTACACACACCTCAAGAATGAAGGGACAGAAAGGCTGAGAAGTCTTTTCTACATAATTTTTTATTTATTATGGCTGATGGAAACTTCATGAAATTTGCTCTCTTAATCAGCATGTTTCTAAGCAGTATGTTTTCTCAAAAGAAATAAAAAAAATATATATATAAACTATATATATATATATATTTAAATAATCACAGCTAGCTCCTGTCATCAGCCTTCTTTCTAGCCTGCTTCCCCAAAAGTACAGATTTAGTTTCAACCTAAGAGCTTACAGAACAGATCAGGTGGGACAACTATGGCAACTGAGATCTTGCAATAACGATCTCAGCAGCTGCTGGGAGATCATTTGTACTGATCCTGGAAGCTGAAGAGCTGTAAGCCTTCCTTGTGTGCATGGAAAATGTGAATTTAAGGTCCTATCTTGCTAGGGGGTTACGCTAGTTAAAGGTTATGCACTGGTTTACAGAACTGAGACTTCTATTTTTCCCTTGATAACAGAGGGACTGGATACTGATATCTACCGTGTTTTTAACATATGGCTTAGAGCAACTACTCCTGTTGCAATCTGTAATATGGTGAAGGCAGAATAGAACAAAGTCTGGTCAGAGATAGTCAGCATTTAATATCTTGACAAACAGTTCCCACTTGAGGACATTACATCACCGCAGGTAACGCAAGACAGGGAACGCAAAAGCGTGCCAGTTTTACAAGCCTGATGAGCAGTTTGTGATTTATTTCGTTTGGCTTCCAGAAGGAATTTGTGCATTACCTATAACATTATACCTGGCACACCTGATTGATTAGTGGAAACAACTCTTTGCTTTAGTTTTCCACAAATCTAAAATTCCCAGAACGACAACTATTGCCAGGCAAAGCAATTAACTGGAAGGCACTCCCGATTCTGAGGCTGTGCCAATATTATTATGTTAAAAGTGTGTTTTTAAAATGCGTCATAAGTTGGATTTACCACTAAAGCCCTGAAGAAAATAAAATGCTTAACCGGTCACAAAATTTATGCTTGGCCAAATGTCATATTTATTTGCAAAATTATCAAATGTGACAATCTCTAAACCATTTAGTAATTAAAATATATGATTTTTTAAAAATCCACCTATTTAAAACTCTTCCACATTTTAATGCTTAGAGTAACACTAAGCACTGACAAACCATACAAAAAAGGCTTCAGAGATGTAGGTGCTAATTCTGCAAAACCTAAAACATTAAAAATATCTGACATCAATGACACCAACTGTTTCTCATTTTGAACAGGAAAACACTTTTAAGCTTGGTATGCATCAGATTTTCAAACACGAAAATAAGCTACTAACAATTCAATTCTGATACTATATAGCAAAAGGACTCCAGTGGTCAGATCTCTCACCCTTATTTAGGAGGCATGTTTCTTTTTTTGTGGTTTGAAGAAGAAATGGACCTATTTGCTTTTCAAATCACCATTCCCCCAATACTAGATGTCATTTACAGACTCTCCCCAGAGAGTACAGATTCTGCAAACCAGCCATTTCATACTACTGGTATGTTTAAAATCACAAGCAGTGAAATGCATGTGTGCATACACATAGGTATAGATTAAAATTTAGCAGCGTATTTGAGAAGCCAACATAGAGCACGTTAATGTACCCAGAACCATCAGAATCTACTCAGGCTTACTGATGTACAGAACTGCTACACTGCATGAAAGGAAAGAAAGGGAGGATGGAAGGGTTGGGTTTGGTTTTTTGTCTGTTGTTTGGGGTTTTTTTTGTTTGTTTGTTTTAATACTAGCTCCCTAGTGTCAAAAACCAAGAACTTTGGTGAGCATGAACTCTCTCAATCTGACTGTAGGATGCTTCCTCTTTCCTTCCAGCCACTACTGACCTCCCTTCTGGATATACAAACTTTTAAGTCCTGCCAAGGCAGTTTCAAATAAAGGCTCACATCCCAGCAGCTATTTCTTTCCAAGGCCCAGCAGTGCCTAGGTTCCACAGTTTTTATCAAGATGTTACCACCTCAGAACTGAGGAACCTGCCTCCCCCTTAGCTCCCCAGCTCATCTGGGGAAGGAGAAGCGTTAAAAGTTGAATGTGAGTGCAGCAGATCCTACAGAAAGCTGCACCACTGACTGTAATGGCAGAGGTTTATCCAGCAATTTAGTCCTAATAAAAAAAAAAAAAAAAAAAAAGTTTCTGATTACTCTTATTTATACAGAGCTTATCCAAGATGATATGCATGTGCAAACAGCTCCTTACAGAGCCAGCTCAGGTTCAGTAAGGTTTTGCAGTGAAACGCAGTATCACAAAACACGGAAAGATTGTTTATGATGCCCAGAAGGCATTTAGCTGGTTTTGTGCTGCACAGAACCCTGCTGATGAGCCCGCACGACTCCAGCTAACTCGTCCACCACCACCTGGACACCTCAGTCTCGCCTTCCTGAAACGGGGAGCAGTGCAGAATGAAATGCAGGAACTAGCAGGTTGATGCTCCCTCAGTTCTGGTCCCAGGCCAGCCCTGCGGGACATGAGATGACTCCTGCAGAACCACAAAGGTATCTGCCTTATTCTTGCCAACATTTCAGTTTCCTAGAAAATTTATTAGCCCTAGCACAGCACTGTATGAATGCTCAGGGCCAGTCAGGGCTGATCAGCTGTCCCAGAACCTTAAGCATTGGGGACCACATGCCAGAAACCAGCTGAGCAGGATCAGAGATAACAGTGAACTAACCATATTTAAAAAATGCGAAACAAATTTTCTGTTCTGGACAATAATAAACATCTTCACAATTAAATATTTTTATAACTGCAAGGAAGATTTGTAATACAAGAGTAAGGGAAAAGAAAAGCCTCCAAAAGACTTGAAATGTTTGATTCACTTATCTTCGTTTATTTTACCAGCACTTACTGATCTGCTTTAGGAAGCTCATTGAGTATCTTTTCTATGACTTCCATCCGCTTCAATCTTTCCAAATATAGTCTTCGCTGCGGAGAATCTAGTTCAAGAAACTCTCTTCCTGTCATCTTGAAGTCCTGGATCATAAGGAACAAACAAACAAACGTAATCAAAGTTACACAGCCCCAGTATGTATCAAATAAACATTTAGACTCTTTTGGCACTATGCAATCACAGATGCATGGCAGAGTTTTCAGATGCAAAGGGCACAATCCAGCTAAAGATGTCTGTGATGTTTATGACTACGTGAACGCTAACAAACTGCTTTCTTTAGTGATGTTGCCGCTGTGGTTTGACAATCACTCTAAGCCAACTTAAGTACTCGCTGAGATGAAAACAGACAGTCTCACCCTGCAGATACTCCTGCCTGAGCACCTTCAACCCTGGGGCCATACACCAGCTTGGATCGGGAAACACAGAGATGAAAACTGCTCAGAGGAACAATGGGCAGCGTACTTGTTTGTTCCAGCTGGATCACCTTCTAACACAACCATCCCTAATGCCTGCAGAACAAGGGAGGACACTAACTGGACGAGGCTTTCGGCAATACTCCAGATTTAAATTGACTTAACTGTCAAATAGAACAGTAAGAAAAAAAACAAATAAATCCATACTTTGTAAAGATTTAAAGAAATCTTGAAGATATCTACTCTGCTTTTATATTCCACAAGGAAGGACTTTTTTTATTGTAGTCTTAGTCAGAGACATGTATTAAGTCAGAAAGCATACAGTTGTATTGGGTTTGTGTGGCGAGGTTTTGGTAACAGTGGGGCTGCAGGGTGGCTTCTGCGAGATGCCAGAAGCTGCCCCCATGTCGGACAAGAGCCTGCTCCAAGACGGACCTGCTGCTGGCCAAGGCCAAGCCCATCAGTGACAGCGGTAGTACCTCTGGGAGAACAGAGTGAAGAAGGGGAATAAAGTTACTGTGCAACAGTAACTGCAGCTGGAGAGAGGAGTGAGGATATGTGAGAGCCCCAGCCCTGCAGCCCCCCAGGTCAGTGCAGAAGGAGGGGAGGAGATGCTCCAGGCACCGGAGCAGAGATTCCCCTGCAGCCCGTGGTGATGAAGACCCTGGTGAGGCAGGCTGTCCCCCTGCAGCCCAGGGAGGTCCACGGGGGAGCAGATCTCCACCTGCAGCCCGGGGAGGACCCCACGCCGGAGCAGGGGGATGCCCGAAGGAGGCTGGGACCCCATGGGAAGCCCACGCTGGAGCAGGCTCCTGGCAGGACCTGTGGCCCCGTGGAGAGAGAGGAGCCCACGCTGGAGCAGGTTTTCTGGCAGGACTTGTGACCCCACGGGGGACCCACGCTGGAGCAGTCTGTGCCTGAAGGACTGCAGCCCGGGGAAGGGACCCGCGCTGGAGCAGTTTGTGGAGGACTGTCTCCTGCAGGAGGGACCCCACGGCGGAGCAGGGGCCGAGCGCGGAGTCCTCCTCCCCCTGAGGAGGAAGGAGCGGCAGAGACAAGGGGTGAGGAACCGGCCCCAGCCGCCATTCCCCGTCCCCCTGCGCTGCTGGCGGGGGGAGAGAGAGAATTCGGGAGTGAAGTTGAGCCCGGGAAGAAGGGAGGTGTGGGGGGAAGGTGTTTTAAGATTTAGTTCTTATTTCTCATTACCCTACTCCGGCTTGATTGGCAATCAATTAAATTAATTTCCCCAAAGTCCAGTCTGTTTTGTCCGCAATGGTAACTGGTGAACGATCTCCCTGTCCTTACCTCGACCCATGAGCTTTTACTCATATCCGCACACCCCCACCCACCCCCTCACGGCCTTCCCGCCGGGGCCAGGCTCCGACCTGCACGACCTTGCGCTGTCCCCGCCGTTCCCGTCCCCGTCCCCGTCCCCGTCCCCGTCCC